CAAGGCCAATAAATCACACCGAAGATATGACTTTGGCAGGATTTGGACCCAGATTCACCTGGTGTCAATGCCTCAGCTCTTATAACCATACCACACTGTTTTGGATAAAGAGGTCATGAGCACAATCCTACAGACATTACTGACACCAGTGCTGTATGAAGTTCCCTAGGCCTGCATTTAGGCTCCTACAAAAAAATGATACAATTGGAACCATGGAATATATGTTATAAGTATATGCAATGAAGATTCCAGCACAAGGAATTGAAAGCCAAATAGGAGACAACGAAGTAACCCAGAGATTGGCAAGCACCAATCATGAATATCATGGAAGTCTGAAAACTTCACACCTTTGAATTATAATAAACAATTCCTCCTTTTAAGTTGATTTCTCTTAGGTATTTTATTATAGTAACAGAAAGTTAAGTAATAAACCCTCACCCAGCTTTTCACACATACATAAAGGTGGGTCACTCCTTCCCTGACAGCACTATGGTTACATTCTAGGCTCAGATAACAGATTATTATCTGATGGGACAATTCTCTGGGTACATCTAACATCCCTTACTCACAACTCACCTAAATGCCAATTATGCCCCCCAATCCAATTTTTGTGATAACAAACAACATCTTAAAACACTCCAAAATGCTCTTGACAGCAAGGTGACAAGGAAGCCAAAGTTACCAGAAGTAGCAAGGACAGCCTCAGAGAGCCATTCCACAAAGGAGACTGGACCCTGCCGGAGAAGACACATGAGGTAGAGAGAGAGGGTGATACCCTGGTCTTTCCCTTCCTGTCCATTCTAATCTCCTGACAGCCCACCCTCAGTTAAACTGAGTAAAGCAAGAAGCCTGGAAACGCACCCATGGTGGTTTTTTTCCTCTTCCAGGCAGAGCAGAGAGGGGAGAGGCAGGGACCAAGATCTGTGGGTAGAGGAACCAAACAGGTATAGTCACACTGAGTCTTGCTGTTGTTTTACAGAATAAGCACCTCAGTATTCTTTTAATTAGTAAACCTATTCATGCCATGAGACTACTTTGATTTAACAACAAAAACCTTTTTAAAAATTACATTTGACTTTAAAAACATCTCTTCTACAAGCAGATATCTCTTTATACCTGTAACTTACTGAATATTGGAAAGTAAAGAGGCATTATTGAATTCCCCTTCCCCAGGGCCATTAGTCACATTTGCCAGACTAATAATAAGAAGGACTTAGTACCTGAAGGAAAGGGAAGCTAGCTATAAGTTGGTCACCTGACTGATGTTTTTGGAAGACTAACTTACCTTTGGGATGGCCATTTGTATGACTGTTTGTGGTCTGAGGAGCTGGCAAGACTGTGCTACCAGTCCTGGGCATAATTCTTCAGGAATTTGAGGGTGGTGGAGTCTTCTGTCTCTGGAGGGATTTCTCCTGTCTTGGACTGTTAGTTAGCACTAATTGAAGGGGAGAGTTAGAGCTCCCTCTATGGGAGCTGGCTAGCTCATGGTGGTACCTCTTTTCTGTCTGTGCTCTGTGGTCACTTAGGCCCACAGCAAAGCTAACCAATGTCCTTTTTCTCCAAACACTCCATGAGATATGGCTAAGGTCGTACTAGACATTACATCAAAGAATATTTCTTGAGTGTCATCTCACATTTGGAAGAATTCTCAGAAAAGCGACTCACAAACATTCAGCAGTTCTTTATACAAAGCAACAGAGCTGGCCAGGTTTCAGTGCCCTCAGAGGTCAACCCCTGACAAGGCACAATGTCTTCTGGGAGATCTGACTCTCTGATTTATATAAGTTTTTAAAAATTAGTTTATCCTGCACTTTTTGAAGGTTGTGATTAAGATCACAAACTTTGGAGTCTATTTTTTTTTTTCTGTTAGTTTTACAAGTCTGTCCTCTTTTCTGTATCCCTACTACCACTGTCCTCTCAACCAGAGCTTTTTTTTTTTTTTAATTGATTTTATTATTTTTTTTAAATACACAACAGTGGAATGCATTACAATTCTTATTACACATATAGAGCACGATTTTTCATATCTCTCTACATAAAGTATGTTCACACCAATTTATGCCTTTATACATGTATTTTGTTTTTTTGCATTACAGTTCTTAATACACATATATACTACAATTTTCATGTCTCTGTTTGTATATAAAGTATGTTAACACCCAATTCAAGTCTTCATACATGTACTTTGTATAATGATGTCCATCACATTCCACCATCCTTGCTAATCCCCTGCACCCTCCCTTTCCCTCCCACCCTTCTTCCCTATCTAGAATTAATCTAATCCTCCTCCCTCCCTACCCCACTATGAGTCAGCTTCCTTATATCAGAGAAACCATTCGGCATTTGATTTTTGGGATTGGCTAACTTCACTTAGCATTATCTTCTCCAACACCATCCATTTACCTGCAAATGCCATGATTTTGTTCTTTTTTAATTCTGAGTAAAATTCCATTGTGTATATATGCCACATTTTTTTTTTTTACCCATTCATCCACTGAAGGACATCTAGGTTGGCTCCACAGTTTAGCTATTGATGTGGCTGTGTCCCTGTAGAATGCTGTTTTTAAGTCCTTTGGGTATAGTCCGAGGAGAGGAATAGCTGGGTCAAATGGTGGTTCCATTCCCAGATTTCCAAGGAATCTCCATACTGCTTTCCATATTGGCTGCACCAATTTGCAGTCCCACCAGTAATATATGAGTGTACCTTTTTCCCCATATCCTCACCAACACTTGTTGTTGTTTGTCTTCATAATAGCTGCCATTCTGACTGGAGTGAGATGATATCTTAGAGTAGTTTTGATTTGCATTTCTCTGATTGATAGAGATGATGAGCATTTTTTCAAATATTTGTTGATTGATTGTATATTCTCTTCTGAAAAGTGTCTGTTCAGGTCCTTGGCCCTTTTGTTGATTGGGTTTTTTTGGTGCTTAGCTTTTTGAGTTCTTTATATACCCTAGAGATTAGTGCTCTATCTGATGTGTGAGGGGTAAAAATTTGCTGCCAGGATGTAGGCTCTCTGTTCACCTCACAGATTGTTTCTTTTGCGGATAAAAAACTTTTTAGTTTGAGTCCATCCCATTTATTGATTCTTGGTTTTAATTCTTGTGCTATAGGAGTCTTATTAAGAAGTTGGGCCTAATCCCACATGATGAAGATTAGGGCCTACTTTTTCTTCTATTAGACACAGAGTCTCTATCAACCAGAGCTTTTTGCCACAGCCACCAACTGACCTTTCCTGACCAGCCTCCCTCTGCTCCCCCATGCTGCTGATGGGCTCTTTTCTTTGCAAACATGATCAGTCATGCTCAGAATCCTTCAATGGCTCCTAGCCTCTAGGATGATATCCAAATACCTCTGCCACCCACCTTAGCCCATCTCTAAACCCTTCCTTACTTGCCTTCCCACCTGCTCCTCTCCCCAGCTGTCATAGACCCTAGTCTTTCACCTACAAGACCCACAAGAAAACGCAAACCTCCTCAAGCTCATTGAGGCGCCCATCCTAGCACCTTGTAATTATTGCCTGCCCTCTGCCTCCTTAAAATACCAAGGCTGGAGGACAGGTTGGGCTTTTACCTTGGGTTTTGCCCAACATCCAGTGCCTGAGACATAAGTGCATTTAATGATTTGTGAAAAGCACTTTATAGTACATATGGTGTGTTTTCATATTTGCTCATTTAATCTTCATTCACACTCAGGTGGCAAGTCTTTTCTAAATATATGGGTGAAGGAGGAAACTGAGGCTCAAAAATGTCAAGTGCCTTGCCCTTAGAGCAGAATTCATACTCCAATAAGAGGGAAGGTGCAGGTCTGAGAGGAAAGTATGGGACTGAGAGTCCTGCTGAACCTAGTTGAATTCCAGCTCAGCCATGGTTAAGGCACCCCAACAAGCGACTGCACCACCCTGCGCCCATGTCCCCATCCTTAATCAAGACAGGAATTTCGATTCGGGATTGTTAGGAAAATTAAATAAAACAATGCCTATGAAAGTGTCTAACAATGCTTGGCTCTCAGCCGGAACTATAAATGTGAGTTCCCTTTCTGACCCCAAGCTTGGCGATCTGCTTCTCCTATTTCTACAGCAGCTCCTCCCTCTCGGAGCTCGGGAGGCCACTGGGGATGCCAACTGTGGAGCGCTGTGCCTGTCTTGACGCGATAGCGGTTTTGGGTACTAGCGATCCTTAAAGGAGCGCGGGGACTCTGAGCACAGCTTGGAAAGCACAGTGTATGTGGGAGGGGACTGAGGGGCCCAGGGGTTGGGGTTGACTGAAGGGGTCAGGGTGTGGGGGGCGTTGGTCAGCTAACAGAAAATGGACGACCCAAAGCACACACCACAGAGGGGCCCACCGACACCTCCTGGACTTCAATCTTCGTCAAAGTGGCGAGTGCCCGACCCCTTCCCCCTACATCACTCGGCTTTTTCTCTATCTCCCCAGCTCCTGGCAGTGGCTCTATGGCCTCAAAAGACAAGGAGGGTCCCAGGGCTGCATGAGCGCGTGGACGCCGCCGACTCCGCGCCCCTTGGGAGCTGAGGCTCCGCCCCTCGCGGGCGCCGGCTGGCGGGAGGCGGGGCATGCGCACCCTGCGGCGGGCGCAGGGCGAGGGGCGGCGGGGAGCGCGCGTGCAGTTTCTCTCCGCCGGGAGCTGCGCGGGCGGGCGCGGGCGGGAGCGGGCGGGTGCCTTGGGGCGCGGGCGGGCAGTGGGCGGGGAGCAGGACGCGGGAGCCGGGTGCGCGCCACCGCTAGACGAGTGCGGGTGAGCAAGGCCGCGGCGGAGTACCCACGAGCCCCGAGCGCAGGTTCCAGGGGGATGCAAGGGATCCTTAGCCGCCTTGCGGCTGTTCGCAGAGAACTCAAGCGGCATTGACCTCAGCGAGGGGAAAGCGAAGCGGCAGCGGTTGCGAGTCCCGCAGGGACTCACGGGCCGGGTGTGTGTAGTGGGCGGAGGGGGGGACGGCGGGAGCGCGGGGCGCAGACCGGGCGGGGCAGGGGGACAGTGATGAGCGAGCGCGCGGGGAGGCTGCACGCCGCCGCCGCCGCCGCTCGGAGCATCTGCTGCCCAAGCTGCTGCTCACGGCACCGGTTATGGAGACGCTGAATGGCCCCGCGGGCGGCGGCGCCCCGGACGCGAAGCCACAGCCGCCTGGCCAGCACCACCGCCACCACCACCTCCACCCGTTGGCCGAGAGGAGGCGACTGCACCGCGCGCCCTCGCCGGCCAGACCCTTCCTCAAAGATCTGCACACCCGGACCACCATGCCGGGCCCGGCTCCGGCTGCCCCCTCGTCTGGCCGAGCCCCGACACCCGCTGCTCCACGTTCACCTAGCCTAGCGGGCAGGGCACCGCCCTCGCCCGGATCCCTGGCTGCGCCCGGCCGCCTCTCCAGGCGAAGCGGCGGCGTCCCCGGCGCGAAGGACAAGCCGCCTCCGGGCGCTGGGGCCAGAGCGGCAGGCGGCGCCAAGGCCGCCCCGGGAACCAGGAGGGCGGCGCGCACGGTGCCTGCTGAGCCTCTGCCCCGGGCCGGGAAGCCTCCTGTGGCCGAACCGCCATCCGCTGCTGCCAAGGGCCGCAAATCCAAGCGCGGCTTGGGAGCAGCTCCTGGCCGCGCCATCGGCTCCATGCCCCTGACTGCCCCGGTTCCCGCCGTGACCCTTTCTGTGACCTCGGCTGTCGGCGCAGTGCCCCCCGGCTCGCGCATCAGCCACACGGACAGCAGCTCAGATCTCTCCGACTGCCCCTCTGAACCTCTGTCGGATGAGCAGCGTCTGCTCCCCGCAGCCAGCAGCGACGCTGAGTCCGGTACCGGCTCCAGTGACCGTGAACCCCTGCGAGGAGCCCCCACGCCGAGTCCGGCAGCCCGGGGAGCACCGCCTGGCAGCCCCGAGCCCCCAGCGCTCCTCGCCGCGGTCTCCTGTCTCGGGGGCCGAAGCAGTCCAGGCGGGATCCCCCCGGGGTCCCCGGGTCTCGGTGCGGTAGAGGATGCTGGGGGGCGCGTGCTGCCTGAGCGACCTGTCCCTGCGATTCTCAAGGAGCCCAGCCAGCTTGAGCAGCCCCGGCTCCTGTCGGTCCCAGTGGCGGAGGAGGAGGAGCTGCTGCGGGAGATGGAAGAGCTGCGCTCAGAGAACGACTACCTGAAGGTGAGCGGGGGACTGGGCAGCAGGTGTGGAGGCGCTCCCCGGACGGTCCAGCTTTGGGTGGCGCCTCTAGAGCCCTTACTCCCTTTACCCCTTTTGCTCTCCATGTTCCTGACCCAGCATTCATTAGGTCTTGAGAACTTCGGAAAACTTCTGAAAGGAGCAGCAAGACCCGTGGGTCCTTCTCTTCCACTTAGCTTTTCTTGTTTCTACAAGTCTTGCTTGTCTTCACTGATGCCTTTTTAGGGGAGAGGCATCACTGCAACCCGCCCCCCCCCCCCCCCCAAATCATGTGCTCAGTCTCACCTGCAGGAAAGGAGTGTTCCTCTGACACCCAACTCTGCCAGACACACATGCAGGTGTGTGTCCATTCCAGAAAGTGCATTTGTCCAGGCTGTGAACTTACTGCTCCTCTTGCAATTACAGAAAGAGCTAGGAGCACTCATTGCCTCTTTGAGGCTCCAGAGAGCAAGGTGTGTGTATGTGGGGGTGGGGGAGTGGAGGGGGAGTTCCGAAGGTGACCATTTTTAGCAGTAAACTTTAAGTTCAGAGTTGCCTGGGTTCAGCAGCCCTTTATAAGCATCCACCAGTAAGTTCTTATGTGTCAGGAGAGGACACACCAGTTCTTTCCAAGGAATCACAGTCTCTGCTACACTGCCAGCAGGGCTGCAGGCAGTGGCCTCTTCATCCTGTTAGCCTTGGGGTGCTTAATCCCATTTCATCTTTTCTCTATGGAGGAGGACTGGTTGTGGAAGCCAGGGTTTAGACCCTGTGGGGGGGTCAATACAATTTAGGTGACTAGAGAGAAATGAAGGGGGGCTATGCTGAGGGCAACTTTTAATTTTTCATAATCCTCAGGTTAGCAAATAGCTTCAGGGGTATAAATTTGTTTGTGTATCTGTTAAGGTCTTAGTGAACATCTTCCCAAGAGGCAGGAGGGCTCTGCTTTATCAGTGGGTTATGTGATTTGTTTTTTCAACAAATGCTGAACCTGCCTGATTGAGGTCCAGGTTTTGGTGGGTGGGACTGAGACTTGAGTGTTTAAGGTGATGATGGTACAGTGTACAATTCAAGCTGGAATCAGCATCTTAGCCACTGGGTCCTTCTAAACCTTATCAGAAGCTGCTCTAACCAGCCAGGTGCAGTAGTTATCTTATGCAAAGAATGAGGCAGAGTAAAAGGTGAGAAGAGATCATATTGGGTCTTGGAGCAAGACTTTTCAAATAGTGTCACCTACTCTTATGTAATAGACTACATAGTGAAATTCAAAGATGCTGAAGAGAAAAGGCAACTATATCGTGTGTGGCTGTCTCATGCAAGTGGTACTTTTTCAAATACCTAACAATGTAAGCTCCTGAGAATGGGAATATTGTCTGTCGTTGTAGTCCCAACTGTTAGTGTAACCCCTGACCTACAGTGTTTATGATTGAATGATGTGATTGCAAATCTATATCGTGACTACTAAGCACCAGAAACCCCTGTTGTTATATTTATTACAACCCCAATTCCACAGACAAGGATGCTTAGAACTAGAAACTAATGGGACTTGTCCAAGGTGACCCAGTCATTAAGTGGTGCTGCTTCCATTTTGCTGCTCCCTGAGCCTCTGCTTTTTTCACAGTACGAGGCTGCATCCCTGTTTCCAGCAAGGCTGCTTTTCTCAGTGTTGCTGCTTCAGAGCTGTTTTATTAGCTTACCATGTTGAGCTTTCCTGTGGGACCTCTGTTTTCTTTTCAGGAGAAAGGGCCATAATGAACACCTCTCTGCTAGCCTGTGTACCAAGGGCCATACAAATCCCATAGGCAGCGTTTAATTTGCTGGAAATGTTCAGTTGCAATTTCCTGGGGGAGAAAGTGTCATGACCATCTGTTTACTAAGCCTGAGTCTTTCCCAAAGATTTTACTCTGACAGGAAAGAGAATTGGGTGGAGGGGATCTGAAGGAGGCTGGGAAACCAGAATGATTGCATGTATATGAGTCTTATGTCCATTCTTGGTCATTCAAAAGCTTAAGTAAAAATAGTTCAATTGGAGAAAGATATACGAGAATCCTGGTGGACTTTTCTATGGGTCAGTGACCTTGTCCATTTGTGGAAAAATTGGGCTCCAAGCATTAATGAGCACATGGGGCAGACAGTAGTCATTCCTTTTTTTGCACATGGTGGTTAGAGTACACATATTATAAACCGAAACGTCTCTTTTTCTTGTTTATGTTGCTCAGGGGTACTTTTTTTTTTTTTAATAGAAAGTAGTAAAAGTGCAGCCTTGACCAATTACTTTCTTAGGGAAGGTTGCATCAAATGTTTGAGATTAGCATCCACCTGTTCAAATAATATCTAACAAGAAGAAACTTGGTTTAGAGATTTGATTTCCATGTATTTTGGAGGGTTGGGACCATATGGAACATTACATTCTTTTCTCAATCAGTGCTGTCCCCAATGCTTTTGGCAATATTATCTGTGGCAATATTGTCACAGTTTCAGAGCTTGATTGACCAAAGTATAATCAAACAGAAAAATAAGGCCATCACTCCTCCTAATGGGAGGATGTCTCACTGATCAGGAAATTCAAATGGAAATCTCCTGGCATGTAGCCTGCTTTCCCTTGTGCTGGGTGGAGAGTGTAGAGTCCTCATTCCTAGTTTCTGTCTCTTCATCAAGAGGGGTGACTAAATGAAAAGGGCAAAATTAATCAATCCCACGGGTCTGGCTTTGGCATGAAAATAGGGAGAAACAGACTTGGATTGTTGTTCAGCTTAAGAGATACCTGGAAGTATTCAGAAATTAATGTTAAGTGGCCGAGTTCAATGATTCCCAGGCCTTTACTTCTAAAACAAAATCCGGCACACTTCTTGATGCTGAGGACTGTCTTCCACAGATGCTGGCGTGTTTCCTCCCTGTCAGGCTGCCATGACTGTGTTTTGCTCGAGTGCTCTGGGACATTCAGACAAGCCATAGTGCTCACTGTCAACATATTAATTATGTCCTCTGTTTCCACAGGCTTTTCAGGGGCATGTAATCACTTCGAGTTTACTGGCCTATTTTGAAAATGCTTTTAGTGACCTTACTGGTGATGTGTTCATAACCCACCCCCAGATAGTGGACCCTAGCTGTGTTGATGTCCTTCAGGGTGAGACAGGATTGGCTATTTGTTTTTGCTCTGCGTTCTTAATTATTTCATAAGAATTATCTTCAGTTGAAAGAAAAGTCAGTGCCAGATCTAAGAGCAGATTACTTTTGATTTCTTGGGAGGAATAATTTCCTAAGAGAGATCAGTGTTGGTTTTCTCTCTCTCTCTCTCTCTCTCTCTCTCTCTCTCTCTCTCTCTCTCTCTCCCCCTCCCTCCCTCCCTCCCTTCCTTCCTTCCTTCCTTCCTTCCTTCCTTCCTTCCTTCCTTCCTTCCTTCCTTCTTCCTTCCTTGTGGGAGGATCAAACCCAGGCAAGGACTCTACTGAACTACACCCCTAATTCCTGAGGTTTTGATTTTATAGGTTGCGGTGTCCCCCCACTGATTAAGCCTTACCATCCTGTTTCTTACTTGGGGTAGTAGATTTTTGAGTTTCAGGTTCTAACATGGTTTGTTACATTTGGCTGTCTGGATGCCAGGTGCTCAGGGAGGCCTGGAAGGGGGGACACTTGGAGTGGGGAAGCTTCAGGACAAAAATAAGCAGCTCTGAACAGCTCAAGTGTTTGAGCTCCACCTTCCTTCCCCTTCCCTATCTTTTGGAAGGGTTAACGTGGATTGCGTTCCCTATATTCTGATATTCCACTTTCTACACCCCTTTCGTATTCAGCCTATGGAAGCATGGCTATAATAATCTTAGGTGGCAAGATAATGTTGACTTAGGGCAACTAGCCCATCAGCTTCTGGCCAGACTGTCACTTGGTAAACAATGGCAATGGGTCCTGTGCCTCTTTAGCTGTTGCTGCGACTCTGCAGAGAACATTTCCATTGTCCAGGGGGAAATGAGGTGGATTGTTTGCATATTACAATAGACAAGATTTTCTGTCTGCAACTCCCAGAAGATGGGAGTTATTGCAACAGTATACACAGGGCTTCTGCTACTGTCTAAATTAGGTCTATTTAAAGAGGAGTTATTAAAATAGAAATAGTTATAGATTTGGGGTTGTTTAAAAGACATTGAGATGCGAATATAATCAGTATGATCAAAAGGTTTTCTTATCACTTATACTAAGAAATCATGAATTTAGTCTTTATATTTGTGGATAAAACTAGCCTAGAGGTTTTCATTAAAATAGTTATTTTTAATCTTGGTTTATTCATTTGCAAACACGGTACCTCATTAGTTCTCTACTATGACAGATGTGTATATATACATGTGTGTATAATAAAGCTTGACTTGTTCTCTGTATGTAAAAGGGAATAGTTGGACAGCTTTACGCTTCTTCAAGAATCCATTATATATAAAATATTTGAAAAATACAATTAGATTAGATTAGCTTTTTCAGTAGGATAATAATATAACATATAAATATCCAATAGATCTGTTGTTGATTCAGCATAAAACTATTGTTTTAAGAACAGTTTTATCCTTATTAATTTCTACATATAAAAAGACAACAGCAATTTCCCACTTTTATTTACTGTCTCTAAATTATTATCTGCCAAACACTATATGACTATATGTTCTGCTTGATTTGATTTTCTTGAATATGTAAGTGGCAGGCCTCATCAAGGTTCTGGGGTACAACATTTTCTAAATTAGAGCATGCCCTCAGAAAATTAATGTAATGTTAGTTTGAAAATCACTATCCATCATGACCCTAATCCAAATAATCACAGTTTTTGCTTTTCAAGTGACTGCTGCCAGCTTACATGGTTTATAATTTTCATCTCTCATAACTTCCTTTCACCGAACCTGAAAATTGCTTTTTTCCAGATGCCACAGAAAGAGTTGAAATAGTGGCTTCAGTTCTGTCTCTGCAATGGACATGTGTTGGGGAAGCATTTAAACTTTTTGATTCTCAATTTTCTCATGTTTGAAATGAGTGTATTAGTATTTTTGCTGCACATTGCAATGATTTCCTGAAGACCAATTGCTCTAATGGATGTACTTGTACATCGATCATTTTCAAGCTCTAAGTGCTAGGCTGCTTTTAGTAGTTTACACTGATGGTGGGGTTTTAAAAGTACAGTCGAAAGTCTTATTGTTTCATCTGTCCCAGTTGTAGCAAATAATTTGTAGTATTTAGTGGAAAGTGCGTGCTCATGTTTGGAAGCAGATAGCCATGGATGCAGTCTGGCTTCCATACACATTAACCAACCTCAGCTTGGTTTCCTTATCTCTAAAATGGGGGTAGTGTGTTCCTGGCAGGATTGTGGTAGGGTTGATAATGAAGGTAAAGTGCTTAATAAAGGATGTTTTCTGTTTTAGAAATTTAGATAAAATGTAAGTTATAAAAGCAGTGGTTCAAATATGTGCAATTATGGTCCTTCCCTAATTTTCTTTTCTGGGCAACTAATGTTGGTGATTATTTATGCTAAAAAAATATTAGCTGTTTACGTTGAGCATAGCCTGCTCAATGATTTGAAGGCATGGGTGTGTCTAGCCCTTAAACTTTTTTTTTTTTTTTTTTTAAAGCCTGTGATGGTTGTTTATGCATCTATAGACAGGTCTAGCATTTAACATTAGGGTGGATGAGGGTCCACCCTAATTGCAAAGTCTGAAGGCTGCAGAACATTTTTATATCTGGAAGCTATATTTTGCATCTTCTTTTGGTTATTTCAAATTTTAAAAACTTTTGTTTGAGGAACAGGTAATTTCAGGTTTTAATGATTTTGATTTTTAAAAACACATTTTTTTTTTTTTTTAGAAGGAATAGCAATCACAAACAATTCCTTCCATTAACAGAGGAGCTGAATCACTATGTATTTATATGTCTGTATACATGTTGATTTATTGGTATACGTTCAGGTATTATTGCTTGTATTGAACTATTTTCTATTAGTTACTCTGTGAAATAATTGCCTTCTAACATATTCAGAAACAAGCATTGCAGTTAAGCTCTTTCTCAAAATCTAATCTGTCCGATTGATAGGGCAGCAATGAAACTTGACCTTGATTTTTGAAGATTCAGGAATAACTCTCTCTTTATGAAAGAATAACAACCATAAACCCATTTTAAAGCCTTTGGTCTGTGGTTAGCCTCCTCTAGCATGGAGTAGACTGGGGATACAGTTTCCATTATCACAGCCTCAGTGTAGGAATCAGGCATCTGTGACAGCCTTCTCTTGGTGAGGCATGGCAAGCACTTTCCTGAAAGAGCACTTTCCTAAGGAGCCTGGCCATTTGACCACTGGGGAGTTGACAAAGCAATCTTCTTTAACTTGGGTTCTCCTTTATAGTCCACTGAAACAGCTTTCATTTTGAGTCATGGTCAGTTGTGTAGGACATTCTCTTATTCAGGAAGTGTGACCAGAGTGGAGAGAAGCTTCAAGCTGGGGTCAGGAGAATGAGCTGCCATATTTGTGCTGTTTTGAGGATGACTGAAGAATCATCTTCCCCCCATTTTGTTCCAACCCATATTTTCCCATAGGATTCCAAGTTTATTTGTTGTGTTTCCTTAACTTAATATTATCCAGGATAAACTCATCTTTAAGAGATTTCTTTTGCCAGGCATGGTGGCACACAACTGTAATCCCAGAAGCTGGGGAGGCTGAGACAGGAGGATTCAAAGCCAGCCTCAGCAATGGCAAGAGCCTTTAAGCAACTCAGTGAGGCTCTGTCTCTAAATAAAATACAAAACAGGGCTGGGGATGTGGCTCAGTGGTTGAGTACTCCTGAGTTCAATCCCCAGTACAAAAAAAAAAAAAAAAGAGAGAGATTTCTTTCTGTTCAGTATCTTGTCTACCTGAGGCTTTGATGTTGGGAAAGAACTTGTGTTCTTTACGTAAATTTCTAGGTTTAGAACAAATGTAGGACTAGCAAGAATAGTAAGAATCAGGGGTGAATAGTAGGGCAAGGCTGACAATTTGGGGTGTCTGAGAGAGTTTTTTTCTGGAGCCTTGATATTAATTAAATAAATAAATTGAAACTGAAAGCATCTTATTCTGGAGGCATTCAAATAATTAATCACTGAACAAATTAAGAAAATTTATAAAATGCTTTTCTTTTTGTTTTAAAAAAGTATTTTTTTAGTTGTAGATGGACACAATATCTTTATGTATTTATTTTTATGTGGTGCTGAGGATAGAACCCAGTGCCTCACACATGCAAGGCAAGCACTGTACCACTGAGCTACAGCCCCAGCCCTAAAATGCTTCTCTTCATCTCTTCCAAATTGCCCCTCATTAAAACATAAAAGGTTACTTCAGTAGAATATATATCCTGTATACTGCTGCTTTATTTATGGGTTGGGGAAGTTTTCACAATTAGGCTGCAAGACCAAAATAAAGCAAAGGTGTAGGAAGTCCAATTTAGTCATTTTGTTGATGTGGTCTGTGTGTTGACTGTAGGTGTGTATTCATTTCACAAATACTTTTTGAGAGGCAGATGTGTCCCTTATGTTGCTCTGGGTGCAAAGAAGATCCTAGAGGCAAGGTTTTGATCCTTTGAAGCTTTTAGTGTAGATAACAAAACAGTAAATAGGAAAAAAAGCACAAATAATGTTAGCCGATGATCATAAGTGGGAAGAAAACAGATTAAAGCAGGAGGTTAAAGACAGTGGGGTTCCAGGCCTGGGGTCAGGGGAAGTGTGGACTACGTGACTTCCCACATTATATGACAGAATGAGCTCCCCAAGACCTGCCAGGGGGACAGCAGGTGAGACCTTGTGTCCTCTGCAGGCAGTCTTCAACTGGAGAGGCCCAGTGTCTTAGGGAGGGAGTTGGGGGTAGACTTGAAAGAAAGAAGCCCTGGCCGGTTTGGGCAGGGGGCGGGGTGGTCTGATTTACATATTAAAGGATGACTGCTGGATGGAGCTGGGAGGATTAGAGGGCCTGAGGGGAAGCTAGAGCTGCAGTGTGTCTGTATGCCTGAGGGGCTGGAAGCCTGGGTCAGGGTCCCTGAACTGGGGCCTTGGTGTTTGAGCTGGGAGAAGAGTGCAGGCCCTTTGGGAAGAAAACAGCACTCACTGATGGTGTGGCTGTAGAGGGCAGAGGGCTTTGGGGGGTTCTCCTTGTCAACAGTTTATAAAGATTTTAATTGGCTTTATTTGCACTTTTTGAATTAGGCAGCACTTAGTTCCACAAAATCCAATGAGTGTTCCCATGTGCTACGCAGAGATTTGTTTTATAGAGGGAGAAGGGCAGAAGAAAGCAGAAACAAAAGAACAAAGAGCAGATGGTGGTTTCAATGTTACTTTCCTTGTAAGGCAGGGACAGGGAGTCAGAACCATAGATAAATAGCTGATTAGTTAACATCAGGTTACTTTAGGCTACTTTCCCACCCCTAAGGATTAAAGCAGAGGGAACTTCATTATTATTGAAACTGACCTGTTGAGGGGGGGGCACATTCTGCTATTATCTCTCTCCTGATTGCTTAGAAGGTCACAGAACAATTTAGTTTTGATTTGGTGACATGAATGATATCATTTTAATTTTTAGCTTGGTCTGTTGGGGCCTAGTGTGGGAGCTTAGTCCAAAACAACATTTATAATTTTTTTTTTCATCATCCGGTATTCAGATTGTTTTCGTGTTGGTGACAAAGAATAGAGATATGGGAAATAAAAGAGAGAAGAATGGGAAAAATATAAACTCCATGTATATTTGAAAAATATAAACTCAATGTGTATTTGAAATAATGAAAAAATAATGAAAATGTTTCATTGTTCAATAGAGTCGTGTAATCAAAGCTGAGTTTTGTATTGTGGAACAGAGTTTTAGAGACATTTGCAAGTATGCTATATTTCCAGGGTAGTTAAGTTATTATCCCATTAAAGTTTATGTTCTTTGAAGGTAGAGTCTGTCTGAGTCATCTTAGTATCTAACTTGTGCCTTAGAGATACAGGTTTAGGTCAGTGTTGAGTTTCACTCTAAAGATTTAGTTATCTGCAAAGTTGATTTCATTTTTGATGGTGTTAAGAACAAACTGGGAGTGGAATAGGTTCCAAAAGGCTACAAAGAATAATACAGGCTGGATTTTCGTTTCTTTGTCTATGAGATTTGAACAGACATTTGGTAATATTATTTCATGTGAGAAGTATTATGTCACACAGACATTTCATGAGCTGATGGGAACGGTGAAGGTATTCATGATTTAGTGTTGAGGAGTGGGGATAGGATGGTGGATGAAGGAGAGAGGTGCCATCCTTTCTGGATGGGCTTCACTCATAAATGTGCTCTGTCTGGTTTCTTAGGATGAGTTGGATGAACTCCGTGCTGAGATGGAAGAGATGAGAGATAGTTATTTAGAGGAAGATGTTTACCAGGTGCAGGAACTTCGGCGAGAACTGGACCGTGCTAACAAAAACTGCCGAATCCTGCAGTACCGTCTCAGGAAAGCAGAGCAGAAAAGCCTGAAAGTGGCAGAGACTGGGCAGGTGGATGGTGAGCTTATCCGAAGCCTGGAGCAGGACTTGAAGGTGAGTAGGAGGGGTTGATGGAGTGGGCATTCCCAAGGGGCTGCTGTGTGCTACGTCATTCCTCTGAAAATGTAACCTCCAAGACCTCTCATGCAAGGGCTCTACCACTGAGTTACCCCCCCCCCAACCCTATCCCTAGCAACCTAGTACACATGTTCCTGATGTTCTTTTTCTGCTTATATCTTATATCTTTCTCAATAGATGTCAGCATAAACGTGCTTGGTTTACTTTATGCTTTAAAAGGTATGTGTAGTCGTATGACTTTGGACCAAGATTTATATCTGTCATAAAAGGGACTGAACTAAACCTTAAAAGACATCATAATAATGAATCTACAATGAAAAATAATTAATACCAGCCATTTGGTCTGATAATTGGATAGAAATTGTACAGAGAGCTGAGCACGGTTGGCACATGCCTGTAATCCTAGTGGTTTGGGAGGCTGAGACAGGAGAGTCAGCCTCAGCAACTTCGAGGCGCTAAGCAACTCAGTGAGACCCTGTCTCTAAATAGGGCTGGGGATGTGGCTCAGTGGTCAAGTGCCCCTGAGTTCAATCCCCCGTACCAATAAATAAATAAATAAATAGATAGATAGATAAATAAATAAATAAAATAAAGAAAATAAATTGTACAGAGATTTCCTAAAGATCAGAAATATTTTTTTTTAAAAATCTATTGATCATCAAGACAGTCAAGAGCCATCTTCAAAGCTGACCATCTCCCTTAATTATTTTTATGGTTATTTAGGTTTCTGGGATTCAGAAAACCTGAGATTGCCATATTAAAGTGAGACTTTTACAGTGGTGATTTAACTGAAGAAGTAATAGGATAGTAACTAATTGTTCAAGTGTCTGTGAAAATCAGTGACAGGAATGGGAATGAGGTGAAGAAACCCCAGACTTTGTACCCTTTGCTCACCCTACAGACAGCAAAGCTTCTGCCATGACCTGGTTATCAAAGCATTTATCTAGATTGAATTATGCATAACGTCCTCCTCCTAATGGAAGTACTTGTGAAATCTCATCTAGCCTTTTATTACAACAGGAAAAGAATCTTTATAATTCCATCAAAGTTATAAACCACTAACAAAATGTCATTCAATGTGATAAAGGGTGATTTATATTACTTTTACAAAATCTCTGTCTTCATTTGCTTTTAGAAAATAAAAATGTTTAATTGCTTTGAACATTCCAATGTTTCAGCCAAGCTAGAGCCATAGTAGAAAATTTGAAACTTCACTACATTGAACATTTACTGCAACAGAATTACTTGATTTGTTTCTTTCAGCAGACAGGCTTAGGAGTACTTTAGGGAAAAGAAGTATTGATTTGTTTATTAATATTTTTAATTTATCACTTAAAGCATTGAACCTGGGTGGGATTAGCATTGTTAGTGCTTTTCTATGAGGAAATGGTGCTATTCAAAGTGGCCTTTCAATCCACGTAAAAGTCTTTGATTCTTCTTCTTGATATTAACTTCATGTTTTAAACTATAGACTAAATATCCCTATGTGAAGTGCTTGGACCAGAAGTGGTTCAGATTTTAGAGCATTTCAGATGTTGGAATTTTGGATCAGAGATGTTCAACCTGTAATACCTTCTTTGGTTGAACTTGGAGGTCTGTTAAATATTGCCAAGGCCTTTGCTATTTGGTATAATACCTCTGGACTTAATGATTCTGCCTCTGAAGTTGTCTGAGTATACCCTTAGCACATAAAAAGCTTCACATTGTGATGATGATCTCTGTGTGGTTGATGCAGGTAGCCAAAGATGTATCTGTCAGATTGCATCATGAACTTGAGACTGTAGAGGAAAAGCGTGCGAAAGCTGAAGATGAAAATGAAACTCTCCGACAGCAGATGATTGAAGTGGAAATATCCAAACAGGCCCTCCAGAATGAACTGGAGAGATTGAAAGAGGTAATACAGAAATACGTGGGCATTCCCCCTAGGGTTTAATTGTTAGGAACTTGGGACTCTGTATCTCTGTTGTGCTGGAAAGCAGGAGTACATAAGCTGCAGAGGCCTGTTTGTCTGGCTTAGGGGCTAAGAATGGATTTTACATTTTTTCTAGCATTGTAAACAAACAAAAACCCACACAAAATAAACCTGCCAAGAGCAAGGAATGGAATAAAGATATGGTGCTTTTTATGGTGCTTGCAAACCCTAAAATATATATATATTTTTAAATAATTTCTGTTTAGATGAGCTGATCATTAAATCCTTCAATGTGTCAGTAGGGTCTCTTTTTACTAGAATACAGAATTAAGCAGTAGCTTTTTACTTGAGTATTTTCTTTCAATGAGCTGAAAAGTTGTTTTGGTTGCCTGTTAAAGTTCTGTAAACAGATAATAAATTGCTACTTACATGTATAACTATTATTCAGTCAATATGATTTATTTATTGGCGTTTTTTTAATTTTAGGGAATGATTATTTTAGCAATGTGTCTAGAAAATAAGTATATGTGTATTTTTCATTTGTATACAATAATGTAAATCCTAATTTGTTGATGATTTCTATTATACAATTAAAGCTGAGTGTTTTCTTGGAAAACATCCTGCATATTGATGAAACTAAATACTATTGATGAAGGCTTGAAGATGCTGGGTCAAGCTGGCATGTAACCTGCTGACAGCTTCATTTGGCAGTTTTATTTTTTGGTGTGGGGGAATATGTTTCCTGATTTACCCAGTCATTCCCCATCCATCCAAATGTCCTCTACCACACTTTGTTCAGGCCTGACCCTGTGCTCTGCAGAAGAATATGTGCACGTGCAGTACAGGTCTTGCTCTTGGGGTGCCCATGCTTATAGCAGATAAGTGAGTGCTGCTGCCTCTTGGATTCTCCCTCACTGCTTCTGCTCTCAGCAATGCACAGCCATCTCAACATGCTTTTTCAGGTATCCCATCTGCCCCTAATGCCCTCTGGAATGCAAGCTCTGTGGGACAGGGATGCAGCTTTGTCTGTCTGATTCACTGGGGGTTCCTTGTGCCTAGAAGGTGCTGAAGAGATGAATAAAGGGGGAAGATCACAGCTTCCTGGGGGCACCTGGCAAGCTTCAGAGAGCTGGCTTTCATCATGGGTGACCCTTGCTCTCAACCTACACATGAATTTGCTCCCAGATGAGAGGGACTTTGTTCTTTAATTGTGGACCTTTTTTTTTCTGTACTTACAGTTCCTGGTACTTTTACTCTCTCCTTTTCTTTGGTCTAAACTTTCTTGATGGTATGCTGTAAACTGTTTTCCTTCTTTTTTTTTTTTAATTTTATTTTTTAATTTTTTTTTCCTTGTTCATTATATATCAAAAGTACTAAGAACATCCTTACTTATGATTTCCAATTTGGGTCTGATGTTGCAGGTATAGAAAACAATTTAGAAGTATATTTTATAATATTGATTTGTTTGTGCATGTTTTTTGTGTTAATATATAAATATACATATGAAAATATATATACAAATATATATTTAATATCTGTAGATTTATTCCAGGACCTCCACAGATAGCAAAATCTGTAATGCTCAAGGCCCTTTTATCAAATGGCATATTTGCATATAACTTATGCATAATCTACCTTTATAAAACTTAAAATTATCTCTAGAGTACTTATAATACCTAATACAATATAAATGTCCTGCAAATAGTTGTCATATTGTATTGTTCATGGAATAATGACAAAGAATCTGTAATATTCAGGACAAACGCAATATATTTTTCTAGAATAGTTTCAATCCATGGTTTATAGTTGCCTCTAGGTGCGGAACCCCCTGGATACAGAGGGCTGATTGCATATATTTTTCAAGCAAGCAAAGATTCTTTTTCATACATTTAAATCAATATATGTAGGATTTAACATTACTTTGAAGAAAACATTGAAAGCAAGGCCAAAGTGAGGCAAGGATCTTTCAATAGTCTGATGTTGGCTCAGGGTGGATATGAGAAGTGGAGAGATCAGCCCCTCCCTGTATGGATTAAAATTACTCAGAGGGATTGCTCAATTGGATGAAATAAGTATTTTATCTCCAGAGTTGCAGTCAGACCAGTGGGACTGCATATTTATATCAAACTTCTAAATGAATTGTAAAACTGACAGGAGTTTCAGGAGGGTTAGAATGCTGATAGATTTTGCTGGAAGCAGAGAGTGATGACACCTACTGATACCAGATTCAGAGGTTTTGTGGGAGATATTTATTGCCAACTGTTTGTCTTTGTGGATGGGATATTTTCATACAAACTAGAGCAAATGTACTATGAGTTTTTCTGTAGCATAAGCATAAGATTTTTCTGATCCCAAACTTTGCTGCTGGTCATTCACCTCTGAAGTTTTGTAAATGAATGTGGGACATCCTTAAATAGGCAAGGAGAGTTCATGTTTTGTCTGTGTCTGAGTAACAGAAGTTATTGCAGATGTACAGATCCTAATTTGTTGATGATTTCTATTATACAATTAAAGCTGAGGTCAGTGAAACGAAGCAGCTCCATGCAACTTCATCTCTGCAGCTGCCCCTGGGCCTTCTCCCTAAAGCTCCAGACAATTTTCAGTGGTCTGGTGGATATCTCTAATATGAACTTTTCCTAGCACTTCTGACTCGGCATGTCCAGCTCAAATTTACCACCCCTCGTGCTAACCTGCGCTACCTCCTGCCTCTCGTGTATGTGTGATGGTACCACTATCCTTTTAGTCACTAAGGCATATGATGGCAGTGATCACCAACTTTCTGGTTCTCTATCTTCTTTTGCTTGCTAAGTGCTTTAGGTTCTGCTTTTCAGCTTTTGTAGTTTTAGGAATTTTCTTTCTCACTGACACATGATATAATGTGGATGGACTTTGAAAATTTGCTAAGTCAAAGAAGCCAGACATAGTGTATGATTCAATTATAGTAAGCACCCAGAATAGATAAATTCACATAGACAGGATACATCAGTAGTTTCGGGGCTGGGGTTGTGGTTCAGTGGTAAAGTGCTCGCCTAGCATGTGTGAGGCATTGGGTTCGATTCTCAGCCTTCATATGAATAAAGTCATTAAATAAAGGTCCATTGACAACTAAAAAAAATATAAAAATAACAACAACAAAACATTAGTAGTTTCTAGGGGCCAAGGAGAGGGAAGAAGGGTGACCAACTGTGTAATGGGTTTGGGTTTTGTTGGGTGGGGGGGTCATGAAAATGTTTTAGAATTAGATAGAGGTGGTGGCTGCATTACATTGTGAATGTACCAAATGCAATTGAATTGTTCACTGGAAAATAGTTAATTTTATATAATGTGAATTTAAAAAAAATATTTATTTTTTAGTTGTAGTTGTCAATACCTTTATTTTATTTATTTATTTTTATGTGGTGCTGAGGATTGAACCCAGGGCCTCGCATGTGCTATGCAAGTGCTCTACCACTGAGCCACAACCCCAGCCCCATATTTTGTGAATTGTAACTTCAAAAAAAATTTTGTCTCTATTGTAGCCATATTTTCATCAGTCTCACCTCAAACAAATATTTGAAGGCTGACAGTGTACATTAATGCTACACAGTATTTCTAGTTTTTCTCTTCTACATCCCAGAAGTGTTCCTCTGTGCTTAAACAACTTGCCTTGGACCCAAGTTGTTAACTCTTAAGAATGACATAGGGGACCATTACTACTTGACCCATCTTCTTTCCCTATTGGGTTTCTTATTACTTGGCTATAAATCCTGGAGTAAAATAAAAGAGCATTTCAGAAGGATGTCAAGGGACTATATCCTCTGGTCCTCATTGAACTAATAGAGGTATGTTATGGAAAAGTTACCTTCTCCATTGATAGATAAGGAGACAAGAGGGCTGACCTTTCTAGAATTATCCCTTCTGGCTAGTCAGATTGCCTGCTTGCACCCTGTTGCCTGTTCACGTAGGTGCCCACACATCATTCCACTTGTGCAAAGCTCAAATAATTGTTTCCTGCCCCTGGTACATTTATTATTGCACTCAATTCTAGGGGAATATCTCAAAAATTGAAAGTGGTTAACCTTATCTTAATTTCCACATCTTAAAGATTGATGATATGCTTTCTTTCAATACCATTTCATTCTGTCTTCAGTTTTTTGAGTGCCTATTATAAAGTAGACCCAAATAATAAGTAGATACATTAGTTAGTTGGCACTTGCAAGGTAGAGAGACATGTGATAAATCATGCCAGTGAAGCAGGATTGTTGAAAAGGAGTGTCAAAAGGCAAATTTAGTGATGTATCTTGTTGGCTTGTATTTACCATTCATAAATTGTGACAGCTTCCATTCTGCAAGATAGAATGAGAGCTCTTGCTGGTAGAATAGTGGATTTTGTAAAGTGGGCACTGAGAAAGAGAATTCTAGGAAAAGAACCTGATGGGTCAACTTCAGGTTGCTTCTCTGTTTTTTTCTATAAGCAGAGGGGCTTTCATATCATGCTGGCTAAAACTGGCTTTTTGGAGGTTTGGGTTTCGTTGCGTGCTATTGCCTCTCTCCTGCTTTCTAGTAAGATCAGATAGACATTTTAGTTTTGATGTGGTGGTGTGGAGCTTCATCATGAGTATTCCATTTTGTTCTGGTCTGGTGTGGTCAGTTAGCTTAATACAGGAACTCAGTCCAAACCAATGATCCTTTGGATTTTTAACTGTAACCCACACAAGAAATGCATTTTATATCATTATTCAATATACAAACACAAACAAAGATTTTACAAAGAGATGCTTATCTTTGTCATGGAGTGGAGTCTGATACTTTCAGTTATACTCAGTTTAATTCACTTTTTAAGGGTGGTTATAACATTGACTTAGTTTATCAGTGGATTGTTGCAGTTTGGAAAAGTTTGAAAAAAATCGTTTGTTAATTGAGTTGTTCACATTTTCTGTATCCATAATCCCCCATTATAATTGTGAGCTTTAATTTTCTTCTCATAATTTGTCGAATTTTGC